TGATGCCCACTACCAAGGCCTCAGGCTGAGCAGGGTCAGAGGTCAGAACAAAGTCCAGGGTTCAGTTCACATCAGGCTCAATTCCAGTGCCGAGTGTGTGTTCACCAGGGCAGCCTATGGCTTTAAAGAAAGGAAGGGTCTTCAGGGAGACAGCCCGGAGCTTGTCCACAGGAAGAGTGGAGCCTTCTGTGGACAGCACTCTGTGTAAATAAAATGCTGATTGGCCAGTAGCCAGGCAGGAAGTATAGATGGAACAGGCAGAGAGGAGAATCCTGGGAAGTGGAAGGCTGAGACAGAGAGACGCTGCCAGCCGCCGCCATGAAAAGCGAGATGTAAGGTACCAGTAAGCCACGAGCCACGTAGCAGCTTATAGACTAATAGATATGGGTTGATTTAAGATATAAAAAGTAGATAACAAGAAGCCTGCCATGGCCATACAGTTTGTAAGCAATATAAGTCTCTGTGTGCTTACTCGGTTGGGTCTGAGCAGCTGCAGGACTGGCAGGTGAGAGAGATTTGTCCTGACCGGGGGCCAGGCAGAACTGGAGAAAACTCCAGCTACAGGACCCTATAAGGGGTGGGGGGGATCCCCCGATCCATTAAGGACTGCAGATGCCTCTACAGCACAGTCAACCCGGGAGAGCAGAGCCTCCTCCACCAGCTCCGGCTTTGGTGGTGGCCCCGTCAGTGGCCCCTGCCCTTTCTTTTTTATTTTATGTGTATGGTTGTTTTGCCTACATGTATGTCTGTGAACCACATGCATGCAGGGGATTAGATCCCCCTGTGACTTGAGTTACAGATGGTTGTGGGCCATCATGTGGGTACTGGGAATTGAACCCAGGTCCTCTGGAACAGCAACAAGTGCTCTTAACCCCTGAGCCAACTCTTCAGTCCCGCCCTGCCCTTTCTACTACACAAGTAGTGTGTTAAGCTCCTGCATCCCGGCATTCAGGCAGAGATCAGGCCGATGAGGAATTCAAGGTCATTCCACTCTACATATTGAGATGGAGGTCAGTCAAAGGCTGTCATATAAAAGCCTGTTTCAAAAAACAAATAAGGTTCCGCAGGGTGGTATATGCATTTCATTCCAGCACTCGGGAAGCAGAAGCAGGCAGATTTCTATGAATTTGAGGCTAGCCTGGTCTACATAGGTAAGTTCCAGACCCACCAAGGCTGTCTCAAAGGAAAAAAAAAATCAACCAACCTTACAAACAACTAAAAATTAAAAATACAAACCAAATCAAACCAAATAAAAATGGGTAAACAGTATAATAACCACAAAGGGGTAAAAAACTTTCAAGAAGGAAGAGTAACCATTAATTCCCTCCATAACTCCAGAGCTCCCATTTCATATCTGGGCTTCTTCCATTCTGTTGGTTTAAGTGGTAGCAGTCCTTAGCACTGCAAACCTTCCCCATTGTTAGAATAGTTCTCCACAATAACCAGGCACACGCAGCAGCTGGCTTTGGGAGGGCTCACCTCCCACCCGGCAGTCAGGTTCCTTTCTGGAGTCAGGACAGGACTCAGAACCCTTTCCCTTTGTGTCTGTGTGAGATTCCTGTCACCAAAGCCCAACAATGCTCACGTTATAGATCGTTACACACAGCGCTGATGTTCAGCTGACATGTTACAAGCACCGATGTGTGCACACATGTACATGCATTATGTGCATATATAAAACCTCAGACACGAATGTGGCTCAGACACTAGTATGGCTCCATGTCCCAGGTTCCACCCAGTGCTGGAAGAAATGTAAAAGAACCCGAAGGGCTGAGGTGAGGCCTCAGCTCAGTAGCAGAGCGCCTGTCTAGTAAGCCGAAGCCTTAGCTATAATCCCCACACAAAACTGTAACGAAACAGAGCACACTCACGTGCACACTCAGGTCTGTCTGCTCCACTTGCACTCTTACCAGGCCCTTCATTACACATGGAGTCAAGGCCACTGCCTGCCCGTGGTGGACAGTCCACTCAAAGGTCAGCCCTTCAAGCAGCTGGACTCCCACAGATGTCCACCAGGCACTTGAAAGAAAACTCCTCATTACAGCCTTTGACCTGACTTCACCTGCCACTAACAAATGTGCTAGGCTCGTGAGACCCCATCCCAGGACGGAGGCTGAGAGCTGTGGGGCTGCAGGCTGGCCCTGAGAAGAGACTCAGATGAGGGCAGGCAGGAAGGATGGGGCCCAGAATGAAGACGTTGGGAAGCAGGTGCTGTGAGGAGGCAGATCCTCAGGCACAGAGGGGGAAAGACAGGGAAGACCCCAGGGCCACGCACGGGAGGATGGAGCAGCTGTGAGCAGGAAGGGTGATAAGAGCCGAAGTGTCAGGCCCTATGAATGACACAAGGGGCAGGCTGGGACCCAGGACAGGCCCGGTGTCCCTGCTACTTACCGTGGAGTCCCAGAGCCCGGCTTCTTTGGAACCCAGAGGGCATTAGTGTTCCAGGCTCAGGCACACTGTTTTCCCTTGATGTCACTGGTCTTCCAGGCTCGGCTGGACAGAGCAGGCCTTGGCTGAACTCCTCAAAGCTAGCCTGCTAGTGTGCTAGGGACCTCTGGAGGCTCTCAAGGCAAGGGGAGCTGGACCGAGAACCCATGGATGCAGCTAAGTCAAGGTTCCCGTTTTACAGGCACACAAACTAAGACCAGAGACGGCATCAACTGTTCAAGGCCTGGAGCAAGCAGCTACAGAGCCAAGCAATCCCACCCTGCCCAGCACAAGGCAGAGACCGAGTGAGCTGGAGCAGAAGCCCAGAGGGACGGATGCTGCTCTTCTCAGAGTTCTAGATCTGATAGGCCTGGAGAAGCTGCTCACTGCCCAAAGCAGAGCGCATCTTTCCTACAGCTCTGCTCCTTGACCCCATCATCAGCTAGGACCCCTCTGGGAGAAGGCCACCAGGCTTCCCAGCTCTGGACAGAAAAGCATGTCTGGAGGCATGCTATCTCAGGGCGTGCACACACACACACACACACACACACACACACACACACACACACACACCCTCTATAACTCTCTTCACTTCCCTTGTGAGATTACAAATTCAGAATGAGACACCCCAGAGCTGCCACATTGGGGTTAGGAGGGGAGGCCTGCTGGACTTCCGGAACAGAATGTCAGTGTGGTATGGGCACCAGGAGACGCTGCAGTTTACTAGGTAAGAACTCATCCGTGACACTGGTTACATTCTAGACTCCACTTGTGCTAAGACCAGGCCTCTTCAGACACACACTGGGACTGTTTATGTACAGTGGTTTTTCAGGTGGAATACCAGCACCAACCATCTTCCCTCAGTTTCATCCCACAGGAAACAGGCCTTGCCTCTCTTCTGTGGACACCTAAGCAGCTCCCAGGAGGAAGTCGGGAGCGGGCAGATTCAGGGAAACAAAATTAGGAGCAGAAACAAGGCCCAGGAAGAGAAGCCAGAGTGTTGGTCCTGCTCACAGAGTGGCAGATCTGCGTTCCGCCGCAGCAGTAAAGTGGCACTGGGTGAACTCTGGATTTCCTCCCGCCTTTATGCTTTTCTCTACGTTTCATGATTCAGTTATGAGGAGCAGCATTGGTGTTGAGACCTGTCAGGGGACACTCTGGAGCCTTGTATGTGACGGTCACAGAAAGTGAGGGACGGGGACCAGTCTTCTCCATGGTTGTAGCGGAGGGCTTTAGTTAGGCACAGGACACACAGGCTCAGCTTAGGAATTTTAATTAAAATCACTCGGCTCTTGAGAAGATACCATCTGGCATCAGGAAGCCCGAGAAGCCGGTGGCACACTGGCCAGGTGCTGCTCAGCATGTCCCCTGTGGTCGCTAACTCCTTCGCAAATCATCCCTGGAGAGGGGGGAGGGGATGGTCAGGGCTCCTCAAGCATCAGGTTTGATCTGCTCCATGGGCTTGAGGTTGGGGGACACCCTAAAGGGGCAGGCTGTGGTGGCCTTGACGTCGTCCACGGACGAGCCCTCCCACAGCTCCGTCAGCGTCAGCCCCTTTTTCCGGTCCACAGTAAACACAGCCTTCTCGGTGATGATGAGGTCCACGCAGCGCTTGCCGGTCAGCGGCATGGTGCATTTCTCCATGATTTTGGGCTGCTTTGTCTTGGTGCAGTGCTCCATGGTGACCACCACTTTGGTCTTGTCACTGGACACCAAGTCCATGGCCCCGCCCATGCCCTTCACCTTCTTGCCTGGCACCATCCAGTTGGCCAGGTCGCCGTATTTGGAAACCTGCATGGCACCGAGCATGGTCAGTTGGATGTGTCCCCCGCGGATCATGGCAAAAGAGTCATCGCTGGCGAAGAAACAGCCCCCGGGAATCACGGTCACTGTCTGCTTGCCCGCGTTAATGATGTCGGGATCCACGTCTTTTTTCGAGGGGAA